ACAAAATGTCAAACGCTTCAGTGCGACTTTACAACTGATGGCTGGTCTTGTTTTGCATTTGAGCCCAGACCACAGAAATCAGAAATGACATAAAGCAAGACTGAACAACTAATCAGCCTTTGGGACAATGTGAGAGCTGCGTTGTGTAATCCAGCCAAGTGCTCCTGAGGTGAGCCCGTCATTACAGTTCATTCTCTGTAGAGAATGAACTTTTCTCTTCTGAAAGTTACTTTGCACATTGATGACATACGCAATACATATTAACAGAATAAAAAAACTGCTTTTGACCCAGAATTTAAACATAACAAACCTTGAGCATTGAACCTTGCTCTGACCATTTACGGATTAGTCAAATTCAAATTAGACACAGTTTTGACCAATGGCTGCACGTCTGTATTATACTTTACTTTAACATCCACAACAAAATAGAAAGAAAGCATGACTGTTTTCCCAGACTACAAGGTCTTTTTCCATACATTTCAGCTGGTCAGCTTAAGTGAGCAAAGTCTTTGAAAATTTGAATGAATGAATTTACTGAATATGCATAAGTAATATTTCTTTCACCCATGTTCTTTGAAAACAGAAACACCTTCAGCTTGGTGTTCCATCACCCTCCCTCACACCCTCTCTGATCTGCTAAACCTCATGTCACCTGTGATGCAACACCGCGCTCAAACGCTCGGTCACACCTGCAGCAGACGATCCCGGAGGCTCATTAGGACAGACCGACTGATTGGCAGTTTATTTCAGCGTACTTAGCGCCACAGAGTGCAAAAGATGTCAGTGTGCCATCTTAGTTGATGCAGTGACGCACTCAGCAGTTGGTAAGGTAACAGAGGATCGAAGCCCAGGAAAAATGACACGTGGATCCAAAATGGACAGACAGAAATGCAGATGGACAGATAGACGGGGCTGGCAGATGTGAAAGAGTGGGTGCCGGCCCGGGGAAGCCGCGTTTTGTTTTTGTGTGGGGAATGCACAAACACGACGTAGTAATAATCACACCAACCAAGGAGAACTGCGCCCACACAGCACTGCCAACCTGCTGTGTGGGAAACTGGCACAGCGCTGACTTACTGTTGGGCCGCGGTGGCATTTAGACAAAGTTTACCACAGCGGGCAGGCATGCAAACACAAAATTATCACACACGTTTAATCACAGCAGGTTCTGTGGGTGTGTGTGAAGGGAACTCCAAGTGAGATTTTGGCCCCTGGACAGGCAGTGGGCACCAGAACCTTTAGTCCAGAAGCAGGAGGTACGAGGGAACAATAACACATAAGGGTGTGGTGTGATGGCTCCCCTATAATTACTCATCTGTTTATTATTCCCGTGGCTCTGTTGGCACAGAAAGAACTGCAGACTGTGTCAGCTCTGTGTATGAGTGTGTGCGTACTGCATGCAGCCGTGTACAGGCTCCACACACTCACAGAGTGACTCCATCCACCGTCATTCACTCATCTGTTGGCCCTCCTGTGAATTTCTATGAATGGCTGCACTTCTGTTGTCTGCGTCCTCAAGGCTCCAGTCTGAGCAGCCCATCCCCATTATTCACTATCAATAAGAGATTTAAAAAAGGTGGAATTATTTCCCAAGGTCATCTCTGACCTACTCTACTGCATCTCTTGCGACTTCAGTCTTATCAGTGATGTAAATGGTTCTCTTTTTATTTTGTCTTGTATTCATTTCATCAAAGACAATAAAGAGCATGCTCTTTTGAAACCTGTCTGCAAACGTAGAATTGTCTGCAGAGACTTTTGCAGACAGGAGTCCCAGGCTAAAAATAATGAATAATTACTCAAAGCATTCTGTAATAGTGTAGAGAGGTTTAAGCAACTTTAATCACTATTTCAGAAGACAAGCTAAATTGATGTGAAAGCTACAGTTTGATGAATTCTTTTTGTATGTTTTAAAAGTAGAAACATGAAAAATCTTTTAGTACAGCAGGAGGTTGGAGCTCATTTTTGCACACAAACTTTATTAAGGTAGATGACAAGATTGGCTTCCAAAGCCTAATGTTTCTCTAAAGCCGTCATGTTAGCTTGACAACAGTACTACTAATGGCAAAACAAAAGCTTGTTTGACTCAGAAACCTCACCAGGGATTTCAATGTGAGCAGAAAAAAAAAAAAAAATCAAACAAACCCTAAAAACCAACTTGCTTTGGGGTTGAGGCACGCTTTCTGGCCATATAATAATCCTGACCATAACCAGAACTTGAAAGCTGCTGTGCACACAAGCTCTTCATCTTATCTGACAAACAAAGCTATTTTGCAAAAAAAAAAAAAAAATACAAAAAAATAAAAGCAAACAATTTAGTTTGCTAATGCAGGATGCTTTGTAGAGACATAAAATACAGTGTAATATTGGTTCTACAAAATATTGTGTTCAGGGAGGTTGACTCAGGTGTCATTATTAAACATATTTTACATAGCACTGCAAATGTCAGCCAGTCTTGTCTAACAAAAGTAATCTCAGTTATTTTGGCCTGTTTCTCAGCTTTTATCACACCGTTTCAAATACTGGTAATGTAATTCAAAATGAGGAGAAAAAAACCGACGAGTACTGACTCCGGAAAGCAAAAAGACGACAAAACACAACAGATGCCTTAATGTGGACGCCACTTCAAGTCTGTTCAGCTGTGACTCTCAAGCTGTCACTGCTTGTGATTGAAAACCAACAGTGACATGCCATCAGTTGCGTCTATGTCACTGTGACAACTTTTTTCTTTGCTAAAATTACTTCATGAAACCAAAAATAAACCTGTAAATCAAATCAATTCAAATCCAATGTTATTTATATAGCACATTGCAGCAACAAGGCATTTCAAAGGGCTTCACGTCATGAAAACACAAAGTTATAGAACACTGCCAACAATTGAAACATCACATTTAGTCAAGTGCTGTTGTTAATTTTGTCCTTGATTATGTTTCAAAGGCATCTCTAAACAAGTGGGTTTTTAGTCTAGATTTAAAGGCACTCTGTGTTTCAGCTGTTAGTCAGTTTTCTAGAAGTTTGTTACAGATGTGTAGAAACTGAATACTGCTTCTTCTTGTTTGGTTCTGATTCTGGTGATGCAGAGCAGACCAGAATCAGAAGACCTGAGAGTTCTGGAAAGTTGATACAACAGCAGATCTTTGATGTATTGTGGTGCTCAGCCATTCAGTAATTTGTAAACTAAGAACAGTATCATAATCTACTCTCTGAGTTAAAGGAGCAAAAGTAAGAACTTTAGAACCGGGGCGATGTCCTCTATCTTCATGGCTTAAATGACAGCACTAAGTGTCAACACTTTTTGCCAATTATATGAGCTGAATATATTTAGACTTCAAAAGAAAGCTGTGAAAACAGGTAGCCCCTTGCAAAAACATATTTACACCCTGAACTTTTTTCCGATTTTGACATGGTAGGAAAATCAAATTCAAGTTTTTTATTTTCACAGAAATAATGTCCAAAGTGTGTTGTGCATTTATATTTACGCCTGTTAGCGCGGAAATACTTTTTAAGGAGTTGTTTTTGCAGGAAATATTCTAACGTCTGACTGGAACAGGATGACCTGATGGCCCTCCTCCCATCCGCACAAAGCACAAAGTTGGACTGAAATATGATTAGGGAAGTAAGTTGCTTAGATAGACAAGAACAACAATTGGGATTAATTGACTTGTTTTGCAAATCTGAGATGGAGCAGATGTTTCAAGTTCACGAGGTGGATTGCTCTAAAAAAGGTCCAATACACACCCAGTGTAAGAACTGCAAGTATACTGATGTAAACCCAAAGCAATACGTGCACGGTCAAGACTTCCCAATGCTGACCAATGGGATAACAGGAAGTATAAAAAGGCTTTGATGATGAGGAAGGGAGAGATTTGGGGGAAAAACTTTTTGGAACAATGATTTTGTATTGATGCATCAGTGGTAGAACCACATCTAAAGAGGTTGTTGTCTGGTTATGCTTCTGCACTTTTTGAGACTGATGTTTTCAGCCTTGTGGATCTCATCAAGTCCTCCAGAATCGCTGAGAGTTATTCATAGAACAACTGCATTTATACTGAGTGTTTTACTCATATGTTGACTATGTTTACTAACTATGATGTGAAGAGATAGTTGGTTGAGCTTAATGTCATTTAGGTGGATCAGAGTTTTACTCTATTAACATTTTTTTAATCGATCAGTTTAATAAAATCCCAATTAAATTGAGTGATTTATGTGGCTATAATGTGGCACAATATGGAAAAAAGTCAATACCAATGAGTGTTTCTGGAAGGTATATCTGACACGTGGCATTAGGTACTGTCACCTTTCTAGTGCCCATTCCTTCCTTATTAAGATAGGTGGCGTTCCAGAGCTCCATCATCAGTACTAATTATGACAGCATTAAAGTTGAACCACAAACAGGAGGACTGCGCATGCCGCAGTTAAGCACAACAACATTCTCTTCAGTGGCGGTTGTTTGGTGTGACTCGCTATCTTGTGGCTTAATCATAACTCGGGGGCATCCTCCTTCCCTCGGACAGAACCATCTATAGGACTGTTTTTTTCTTCTTCTTCTTCGTATCACTCTGTCTGGGCGAAGCGCGCCGGAAGCAGACCATAACAGTCTCTGAGAACGCAAGCCAGGAAACAAGCCTCTGCTATCCGTCCTCCGCTCCTCCACGAAGCCCAGTCATCATTACCGGGCACCGTGCCTTATTGGCTTGTTCCCGCCTCCCTCATCTTCTTCTTACACACACACACACACGCACGCATACACACGCACGCACACACACACATACTCCCACACTTTCTTCTCTCTGCCATCACCAATGTGCGTCGAGAAAATCTCCTCCTCCCAGTCCTGAGCGCACGTCTCCAACCAGCCTTTTACGCGCGTCGAAGCTCTTCTCGAGAATCCCCTCGCGGTCGGCCCCTCCCCTTTCCGTTTTTTCGCCGCCCTCATTCATTCATGACCCCCGAGCAGTGACGTAGGAGATTCCATGGTGCCCACTGCCGTAGGCAACTACGGCATGCTGGAGTATATATGGGACAGTGGTGGCCATCAGCTGGCACACTCTCAGTCGCTCCGACTCGGGAACCAGAGCATCAGCGGAGATAGCAAGGCTTTACTTCGCCCTCTCAGGCTAACTCGCTTTTGGGCTTTGGTTCAGGATGGACAACTCTTCTATTTCTCGGAGCCGACGAAGCTCCATCATGCGCAACTGCAAAAGTAAGTTTCTTTTCTGTCTTTGGCTGGGGACGATATTTTTAATTTCACACGGAGTTGAAACGTGTTTGCTGTGTGATTGAATTTGTGCATGAATGCATTAAGTTTTATATGAAAATATATGTGATATATGTGATATGAGCAGAGAAAACGGACAGATAATGAACGTTTTTACTATTCAGAACTACAGAAGGATTTCCGATCAATAATTTCAGTCTTATTGATAATTGCACGTTTTCTGTGTTGGTAGAAGTAGAAACGAGTTTTACTAAAGTCTCAGAATATAATGTTGTGTTTTGACTGAGCGGTTTTGTGGCCACGTTGTGCGTAATGGTCAGAGCGAGTGCGTTAAGTGTCATAGCCATAACTCAGAGGCGTGCATTCTTTTGGAAATTATAACTTTAGCTGTTGCTTCCGCGTATTCAATCTCTTTATTGAAATTGAATAATTGAACACATACTTCAAATGAGTGCGGTTGCTTTAACGTTAGGACCCGTTGTGCTTTTGCACTGGACGAACGAGGATGAATTTAGCGCCACGGACTGCTCTCACCTCCTTTCCTTCTCTGCCTCTCCTCCAGACGGTCTCTCCCTCTGGCTGGTGGTCTGGCTGGTCCTCGGCAAGCCAAATCCGGCGTCGGCGTGTCCGCACCACTGCGTGTGCTACCCGACGCCCATGACTGTGAGCTGCCAGGCGCAGAACTTCACCGCCGTCCCCGTGGGAGTGCCGTACGAGTCCCAGCGCGTGTTCCTCCAGAACAACCGGATTACGGAGCTCAGAGTTGGCTCTTTTGGTTTCGGAACTCAGGTAGGATGGCAGGAGAAAAAAAAGAGTTTCAAAATGTCTTTTAATTGTATCCCCCACCACCAGCATTTAAATCTAAAGAAAAAAGTAGCTCAAGAGTGTTTTTGTTGTCTTTTTTAGGTTCTGTGGCTGTTCTCCAACAACATCACATGGATTGAGGCAGGTGCTTTCAGTGAGCTGAGGGACTTGGAGGAGTTGGATCTGGGAGACAACCCCGGCCTTCACAGGCTTGAGGGGGGAGCTTTCCGCGGCCTTGAGAAGCTCCAGAGCCTCCACATGCACCGCTGCCGGCTCACTGCCCTGCCCCATGACATCTTCCACAAGCTTTACAGCCTACAGTTTCTCTACCTGCAGGTAGGGGCGCTAGAGACACATTGCTGCACTCTTTTCTAACTCACATGCACATGCAGCTGCCCACACTGTGCACGTGCTACCCACATTCCAGATCAGATTGGTGAGTTGATTTTTTTTCTTATCTCCTTTTCTTGATTTTCAGGAGAACAACCTTCACTTCCTGCAAGATGACATCTTTTCTGACCTCATCAACCTTAGTCAGCTGTTTCTCCATGGCAACCGGATCCGCACCCTCTCAGAGAACGTGTTCCGTGGCTTGGTCAACCTCGACCGGCTTCTGCTCCATGATAACCGCATCCGTCAGGTGAACCGTCGCGCTTTCCGCGATCTGGGCCGCTTGACGATGCTTTTCCTCTTCAACAACTCCCTGGCCGAGCTGCCGAGCCAGACCCTGAGGGACACCCAGGGCATCGAGTTCCTTCGCCTCAATGCCAACCCCTGGTCCTGTGGCTGTGAAGCCCGTGCCCTGTGGGAGTGGTTCCGTGAGGCTCCCGTCTCATCATCCGAGGTGATTTGTGCCTCTCCTTCCACCCGCCGTGGCCAGGATCTCCGCTTCCTTCGAGAGATGGACTTCGCCCTCTGCCCCCTGCCTGACCCTGGCTCCATTGCTGGCTCCACCACCACCACCTTCAGCACCAAAACCCGCTGGTGGTTCCACAAAAACAAGCCCCAGTCCTCCACAAAAGGCATCTTTGAGAAGTCCTCAGAGACTGTCAAGGCTGGCTTGTATGGAAAAGGTCCTTCCACAACCACCTCAGTGGTCAAGTATGAATTGGCGGATGAAGAGCTGGCTTTACCCAAACTTGACCCAGAAGAGTACTGGGCAAACTATGGCAATGAAGACTCAGGTGTCACAGTGCGGTGCTTTGAGCTTGAATGTCCACCTGAGTTTGATTTGCCTCCATCTTCCTCTCCTCCCAGATCATCTTCACCCTCTTTACTCTCTCTACTAGCCCTCTCTGTCTTCACCATCTGCCTCCACCTACTATTTGGCTGAATTGAACTCTTAGTGCCACACCCCTTCCCTTCCAGCCTGTTTTAGAGGCTGAAGGAACCCTGTTAGACTCTTTATACCCCCTTTGCCCAGTCTGCTGTCAGGTATTCCTCAAGGAACAGCATGGGAGATTGGGGGAATGGCTAGATTCTGAATCTACCAACTATAGGGCTTAACACTTATTCAGGGCTGCTAAGAGTTCTTCATCTACAATCATCTACAATGATCAACAGGTATGGCTTTCTGTGCCTTACCTGCATTACGACTCCCTGCGAGCAGGACTACGAGGGCTGAGTCCATCACCAGTAAGAAGGCAATTTGATAGCAGTTGTGTACAATGTTGTCAATTCTGTCACCTCAACTTTAGTCAATACTACTAGTGCTATTAGTGCATCCAGTTATCTGGCTGCTATGAATGCTACGATTACTGTTAAAAACAGTGTACAGTAATTACACTACTGTAACCACTTAAAGTGTCATGTAAATAGGTTTGTGTTTTGTGAGTGTTCAGGCTGACTTTGTGATCCAGCACAATCACGTTTCATTTGGATCCAGGAAAACTGTGAAGGCTTGTGCCTCTACTTGACAGAGCACCATGCACAGTGAAGCAGGGAAGAGATAGGAGCACAAAAATACTGTGAAGACAAAGACGATAGAGGGGAATTCAAGATGACAGGGACAGCAAATGGGAAATAGGGAGAGTGTTTGAGCAGCAATAAGAGTGGAAGAAGGTCAGTGCTGGCAGTAGAAGCAGCAACCTGCAGGAGATAAGTAATAAATCTGGTTCATTTGTAGTCCTCCATTCGCCACCCTCTGTAAATATGGTGTTGTTTAGCGACAACCACATGGAGAGAATGCTTTCTTTCAGAAAGCTGGAGATTTTTGATTTTGGATGTCTTTCTGTGACATATTGATATAATGTGTGATGATTGTTGACTTGAATGCCAATGAATGATCTTGATATAAAAGATATACTGAATATTTCCTGTATCATGCCTTTCTTTGATGAATATCTTCTAATTGGGGGGTGGGGGAGGTTGTGGGTGGTTGGTGATTTTGAAGCAATGTGAACGTAGGACAGAATATGGTGAAGCAAAATATAAGATACAAACAAAAGTAGCAGATTGCTGCTGGGTGACAAAACTGTGACTAAAGAGCTTGTGGACCTAAAGAACTGACCACACAGTCACATGGGCAGCTCTGGCTATAACAGGCGTTTGTGAATGTGCATCAAAGGCAATGAATGGATTCACAAGTTGGCAACTCTGCAAAGGCAAATACGTCACAAGATTTAGCACTTCACTGACTCACCAAGGGGTTGCGCCAAACGGACAGACGAGGTGTAAATTGGATGCTTTTTGTGAGCAAACTAAGAGAGCAACACAGGAATCCTGGGCCAGTAAATTAAGACTCTCATGCAGACTGGTTGAGATTAGGCTATTCCAAAAAGTCAAGTTTTGCTGGAGATTCTGAGGCTGCAAGACATTTTGCAGAACGAGTTAAAGTTGAGGCAGGAAGTTTCCAAATGTAGGCATTCACACCAAGGGAACAAAGACGATTAGTTGATGTACAACTATGCCTTTATTTTCTCTCTCTGCTCACCTAATGTTACACTCTTTATTTCAAGCTACCTGGATACCTTAAAGGTAGTGGAAGAGATTCTTCAACGAAGGCTATCAGGGGAAGGCCAGTATGTAGTAGGAGTGAAAGAGTAGGTGGTGATGTTAGAAATCTTCACACATGCAGACAGATGCAATCAGAGAGCTGGTGAGCGTCGCAGTGCTCTTCACTCCTTTGATATTTCTCCCCACAATGAGGAAAGCCTGTGGGAAATATTCAGTGCTATCTTGCTGTTTAGTAAGTCTCCTAGAGGAGGTCAAACTGAGCCCGGGTGCTCTCTAGTGACCATTACGTCACTTTCAGATGACCAAAGTGCCAGTTATACCATTTCCCCAGAGGTTCCTTTGTTAGTTTGACAGTCTGCATGTTTTATGTTTTGTATCTGAAGAGAGAAATAGTCATCAATATATTAAATACTGACTTGTTATTTATTTTTACTGTAAAAGAAAAAGACATGTTCTTGAAAGAATAAATTCATACTTGTTTTAACAAAGTCTGTTTGTGTGGGAGTTTTATTCTATGTCTTGGCAAATATCCAGTCAGGCACCCAAAGCAAAAAGAGTACAGCACACACATACACACACACACACACATGCGCACACGTAAACTCACGCACGCGCACACAGAGACTGCTGGCCTTGTGTATGCAGGCAGCTGACCATCCCTTTCAGCTACACAACTATTAATAAGAGCAAAGCAGAAAGTGAGCAGGTCTGCAGTTCTCTGCTCAGTGAATCTAAACCAAACTCAACAGCAGGAATCTGATCTCTCACTTATATGACATTGGCACACATTAACACATAATGTAAATCATTCAATCTCAATTATGACCATACAGATTAATGTCATTTTATTGAAAAAATGATTTTGTCATTCTGAGTGAGGCCATGTCATCATGAGTTACATAAACGTCCCTCATTGTCAGTTTTTGCAGTACAAGATGAGCTTAAATATATTTACCTGACAAGAACTGTTTGGAAACTCAAGAATTTCACTTCTGTTTATAGAAGTTTTAGTTTTAGTTAAAACGTTTTCATTAAACCTTCATGATCTGAAGTTCAATAACAAAGGTCTCTTCTATAATACATGGACAATAATCGTCCCATTTCCCAAACAGCTTCTGAAAGGCTCAAGGGTGACAGGAAAATTATTTTATTTTTATTGAATAAGGTTGCTTTCAGAGATGTTTCACAATAAAAATTATTAGCAAAGAGGTTTAACAATGTAAAAACACATTTATACTTTAAACCACCTGTTGTTGTAATTTGAATTGTATGCGATTAGAACTGTGAAAACACATTATGGAAGAAAAATATCCATACTGTCCGAACTGAATGCACAAAGCTCCAATTTGCATTTTGTGCGAACGGTGTGTTTCACTGAAATGATAGAGTCTGGCAAGAGCTGTTCTCCTGGCATCTGGCAAACCACAACATTTATTGCACAGATAACATATCATTAAACTTCCGAAAGTGGCTAATTGTTTTACAAATTTAGGTAGTCGCAGTCTGCAAGCTTAGATCCTGGATATATGTGAATGACCTGAGCACCTGAATTCAATGATTTACCTGGGTGAGTGAATATCTTTGGCGGTGTTGTGAACAACATTGTTCAAAAACAATGTATAAAGCATTTATTGTCTCACAGTGCACTGTGCATTTGCAAGGGCACAGCAGAACTGCAAACCAATACATGACCATCCACTGAATCAGGAAGGTCAGGCAAAAAAAGATCAATAAGATAAATGATACATATTTTTTTGGAGGAACTGCAGAGATCAGTAACTCAGGTGGGGGAATGTTAGAAAACACATGCAGCATTTATGAAAAAATGACAAGCTAAAATGCCATTGTTGAAAGATAGCCATAAGAAGTAATATTTTAAACTGGGGATAACAAGTAAGAAAAACAACCCTACAAACAGAACAGCTGTAGACCAAAGGATATTTATATGTTGAAATGGAATAGTCAAAGTATGGGTCTGAATCTAATCAAGGATTTGTGGCGCAAGTTAAAAATTGCTACTCACAGAAAATGTCTATACCAGATCACTGAACTTGAGCCATTTTGCGTAGAAGAATGGACGAAAATCTGAGTATCTAAATTGGCCAAGCTGGGGGAGCTTTGCCAATTATCCCGATAAATGTCCTTTATTGGGGTACTCATGTACCCCAGATAATAACACATAAATGCTTCATGTGTATTCATTTTGTGGGACGTGTTTCTGTCTTTAACTCGACAAAGTTACAAACAGTTTACTGCATATGAATACTTTTGCAATGCACTGCATATTACATTAATTCAGCCACTCTTCTGTCCTCTGACACATTGCACTTGTAAACCTATGCATTCACATCATGTAGTTGCTAAAATAAATTATCAGTTCATTTTCATTTAAAGTTACAATATGTTTGTGGCAGATTGCATCCCGAGCAAACAGACAACCCTTTCGTCCTGCAAACACACAGTTTGCTCTCTATGGCATAAAGCTCACTCAGAAATGTCTTACTCTAGTTTGTCATGCCTATATAAGGACAAAACCAGCGCATCATTCGCTCCATCTTTTAGATTCCCATTGGTCTCTGAGCTTTTGTTTGGCAGGAAAAAAATTCCATGACGTACCTTCGTTGTAGAGTACATATAAACTGTGTGGGTTTGATTGGACGCCATCCATGTCACTCAGCAGTCAGAACGGACATTATCTCTAGGAATGTGAGCGAGGTGGAGGGAGCGGTTGTGAGCGAGTGTCTGTCGACGCCTCAGTTATGTTGAATAGATGAATATTAATGACTCCCAATTTAACTTGTAGAAGAGAAGGAGCGGTGCAGAGACAGTGTGGAAAGCTCTGCGCTTGTTTGAGTGCGTCACTATTCTGTCACACTTCTCTCCACCTGCTGGGCCCTTGCTGCTCTCGCTTCCCTCCTCTCCCCACACACATTCATACATCCTCACCTTCGCATGTGCGAGTGCAATTTGCAAGTTATTCATCTTATTTTGTGCTCAGGAGTTGAATTTATGCCACCCCACAGACATTTCACTTGAGTGTTTCACACTTTTCCTGTTTTGCTAAAGCACCTTGACGTCATGCTCCGTGTTTTTCTTTAAACGTTTGCACATGTATGCTTGATTCCTTTTGAGGCTGCTTTATGCAATTGGAAAAAAAAACACTTTGAATTCTTGTTTTTTTCTCTCAATCTTTCATGTAGCCAGTTAGACAATGTCTGCAGGTCTGCTCTGGAGCTGCTGTCCAAACCAAACTCATCTTCTAAGAATTTTTTTTTCCTCCCTTTGACTTATTTGTAATATTCTGCTTTAAAAATTCGCTTCAAGGCTCTTCTGCCTTCCAGTTCTTCTTGTGTCATTTCAGCAGCCAGTAAGAACTGCTCCGAATCTAACAAATAAAAACAAAAGACGAGACGAAGCGGAGAGAAAAAAGTATTTTGATGTGCTCCCGAGCCATATTTGTTTGTTTGTTGTGCATGAGATGCATGGAAATTTGAAATAATAACAAGCTTGCTTACGTAGAGCATATAAAGAAAACACAAATAAAAGTGAATTCAGAGCAACAACAGCAGTCATAATTTTCCTTTTTAAAGAAATTTAAGACATTTGGTTGTGTCTCATGTTATCTTACCAAACAATGGACTCATACATGACCAGTCATGTCAAAGAATACGGAGAATGGCCAATGTGCAGATAGATAATAAATACCTAGGTGTCCAACAAAAAGGACTACAAGGGGTGAAAAGTCACTGATGTCAAACCAGGACAGGAAAACAGAGCTCACTGCTGACAGAGGGCTGAAAATAAGGACTTGTGTGAAAGAGACAGCGACAGTAAGATAGCAACAGAGGAGGTGTGAAGTTTGAGTCATGTTCTTGGATCGCTGTTCAGTGGAGAACATTTGGACGGCTTAAGTGTGCAAGCACACAAAACACGTGCGAACATGGACCCTCATTGGCAGAAGTCTGCGTTGCTGCTGCGCCTTAAGAGAGGCCGACCGGGAGACAGACGTTTCTTCGTGCATCACACAAGCGGGAACCACGCATATATATGGACCCACTCGTACATCAGCAGGCAAACTCACTGGAATTTTTTCCAACTAGGTGGCCCTAAAATATCAGATATCTGATGTGTTTTCCAAAACACAAGCGTTTGGAGGTAGGTCAAGAGCTCTGCAACAATCAAATGCACAGTAACAATTGATAAATGAGAATATGGGTTCTGAAGAGGCTCTTCGTCAAGTACTTTTTAAAAATAACCTTTATGAAGCTATTAAACATACTTTTAATTCAGCTCAGTTTTCTTTGTTAAACATGTTGTGTTATTGATGGGATTTCTGTGCTCAAATCTTAAATGTTA